ATCAGATTTTAAATGTCTGGCAGATAGTCGTAAAATGGGACAAACAAATTTTAACACATTTCTCACTTAGCAACATAAATTCTGGGCTCATTTGTGGTCATAAGTCGAGGACTACCTGTATTATGTCTTACCTGAAAAGGGGGCTTATGAGCCAGATCAGGAATTCTGATGGTCACCTCCCCACAGACACATGACCGCGCTTTGGTAACTCTGCCACATTTACAGCCATTTACAACACCCTGGGATCATGGGACCCTGTTTTGCGACAGCATTTAATTCCGTTTTTCTACATCATTTGGTTTCACTTAATGACCAGAGCTTTCACTTAACAACCATCATATTCACTTACGACCACGGCATTCACTTAATGACTGCCACAAAAAATGTGGTAAAATAGATCAATCCCGTGACCGACCTGTTTTACAACCATTACGACTTAACAATCGAAATTTGGTAAGCTCCATTACAGTCTTAACTGGAGGACAGCCTTCAATGAATGACCGTGTGTTATACAGAACTGCAGAAAAATTGGGTACCTTGACAGAATATTTAAGGAAGTGGGAAATTCAATGTCCGACATTCATAAACCGAGGTTGAAAGAAGCAAAACCAGCGGTGTCTCCTTGTGTGTGTGTGTGCTTTTGACTGTGTTGTTACGCACAAATGAGAGTCGGGAGAAAAGCTGAATGCAGTGGTTGGATTAGGCTACTTAGGAGGGGGCGGAAGAGAACAAAGGATGGGGCCAAGAATAAATGGGACCTGAGCGGAACAAGAGGGAATTCAAAAGTAGCCCGTTGAGACAGTGGCCTGGCCATAAGCGGAGAGGGACTGAGAACGGAGTGCCTTAATTGAGAGCTGCAAGGAAGGGAAGGAGTGAGAAAGGAGGGATTGCAAGAGAGAGATAATTAGTTTAAAGAATAAAAGGCAATGCAGGACAGTGGTGGGTGGACAGGAGCCAAAGGAGGAGGACTGACAAGAGTGGCAAAGCATAGAAAGATGGGGTATAAATTAGCTTTTATTTCCCATCTTTATTTCCCGTCTTTTGGTCCTGGGTCCTTGTTCTGTTTTTGGCTGGCTGGTTAAGTCAGTGCTGAACTCTGAGTGACCACATAGGACAGAGGTGGGCAACTAGAATAGAATAACGGAGCGCTGAATAATAGCAGTGCTGGCTGGGGGATTCTGGGAGTTGAAGTCCACCCATCTTCAAAGCTTCCAAGGTTGAGAAACCCTGCCCTAGAATCACGTGTCTGTTCTTCCACATCTGGGACAAACTCCCCTATAAAACAGTGTCTCTGTACCCCAGTCTCAAGACCCTTTGCAGCTGCCACCCTGGGCAAACCCCTTTGCTTTTGGGCATAAATATTTCTCCTTTCCTCACAGCTGTCTGGATTTCATTTCATTTATTACCACGCAATCCCGACTTTGAGTTGGAACCCCAAATTATTCTTCTGACCCCGATCATCGTCTTCTTCTCTTTCCTTCCCCTTTGGCCAACAATATGGACTTCTCAAAGTCTTCGCTTTGATCGGTCGTGCCATCATGTCACTCTGGACTCTTGGTGACCCCCTAGATCAGGGGCTGAGGAACTCTGGGAGTTGAAGTCCACAAGTCTTAAAGTTGCCAAGGTTGGAGACCCCCTGCCACAGAGGGGCCTTTCCCAATCTCCAGACCTGATCCCCCCCTGCAACTCCACCTATTGCTGGTCTCCCCCTTCTTCGCCCTTCCCGCTCTGCTTACACCCCAAGGAAATCTTTATGTACTTTTATGTACATCTTGTGTGGATCTCCTCTCTCCCCAAACCAAGGTTAAGGCCCCTTTTTCTGAATGCTGCAATGCTGAAAGGCCATTAGAGGACACAGGTACTCCTCCAATTACGACCATTTGATAAGTGACCATTCAAAGTTACAACAGGACTGAAAAGAGTGACTTAGGACCAGTCTTCACACTTATGACCTGTGCAGCATCTGCGTGATCACGTGATCAAAATTCAGTGACTGACTCATATTTATGACGGTCGCAGTGTCCCGGGGTCACGTCATCCCCTTTTGCGACCTTCTCACGAGCAAAGTCCATGGGGAAGCCAGATTCACTTAACAACCCAGTCACCAATTTAACCATTCGCTTAGACTTAGAATAACTTTGTCACTTTAAATGCACGCTAATCAGCATCCATTAAAATGAAATTTTGTTGCATACAGCTCTCAAAGGGTCACCACCTCCAATATACACTACGTAACCATGACATAATAAATAAATAAACACAAAATTATGCCTACACCCACATGTACTATATGACACAGAGAAACAACACAGTCTAGTTCAGAGGCATACATGTACATGGCGAGAAAAACGAATCTTGCAAGTTTGACAGACGGATGGCATAGGGAACAAAGCCGTTCCAGAATGTGGTAGTCTTGCTAGAAATAACAACTTAACAAATGGAGCAAAGGTCGTAAAATGGAGCAAAATTCACTTTAAAAATGTCTCACTTGACAATGGAAATTTTGGGCTCAACTGTGGTCGTAAGTTGAGGACTACCTGTACAATTAACATCATCTGGGATTCAAAGATGGGGTTGCAGGTGGCTCCAAGGCCCCAGAGTTACATTTCTGTGAATTGCTTACTGAGGGAAGGACAAGAAGCAAAGGATGGACCAATCAAGGAGAGAAGTAACCTAGAAGTAAATTTCCTGACAGTTAGAACAATCAATCAGTGGAACTCCTTGCCACCAGAAGTTGTGGTTGCTCCATCACTGGAGATTTTTAAGAGGCTGGACAGTCACTGGTCTGAAAAGGTATAGGGCAGTGATGGCTAACCTTTTTGCCAACGCGTGCCAAAAGGGAGCGTGGGGGGATCGTGAGCACGCGTGCCCACCCCCATAATTCTATGTGCCCCACCCCCCGTGCATGTGTACGCACCCCACTCGCACTCCCCCCGCTTTTGGCACGCAATGGCCCAGTGGGCCCGGTAGGCCCGTTTTTCGCCCTCCCCAGGCTCCAGAGGCTTTCTAGGAACCTGGGGAGGGCAAAAACAGCCTTCCCCACCCCCGGAGGCCAGAAACGCCCCATTTGCTGACCTCCGGTGGGCCCACAAGGCCCAAAAATTGGCTGGCCGGCTGAGCTCACGTGCCCACTGATATGACTCCGCGTGCCACCTATGGCATGCGTGCCATAGGTTCGCCATCACGGGTATATGGTTTTCCTGTCTGAGCAGGGGGTTGGACTAGAAGACCTCCAAGGCCCCTTCCAACTCTGTTATTCTAATTCTAATAGTTGTATATTTTCCCCATGAAACATTTTCACAGCCACCCAACTAAGCAGCTTCTTGGATGAGAAGCGAAAGGTCTTCAAGGGAAAACCAAGGAAATCCAATTGCCTCTTGGACCAAAAAAAAAAAAAAGAAGAAGCTACTTTGAGAAGCTGCGTAAACAATGAGTTCGAGAGATGTTTTAACGTTTTAATGTCTTCTTTTAACTTTTGTATCGGATATTGTTGCATTGTTTTATTCTCTGTTGTAAGCCGCCCAGAGTCCCTTGGGAGTTGGGCGGCATAGAAATGCAACAAAATAAAATAAATAAATAAATGTTACAGCGCAACAAATTAGACCAGGGTCACGTAATCAAACATTGCAAGAGCTTGGCAACAGCATATACCTTCACAACGTTGTAGCTTCCCCAGGTCACGTAGCCACCATTTGTGAGCTTCCCGGCCTCCTTCCGACAAGCAAAGTCAGCATGGGGGAAGCTGGATTCGCTTAACGACCGCCCGATTCACTCAACAGCCACAGCGATTCGCTTCACCGTCACGGCAAAAAGGGTTCGTCCAATCAGGTGCGACTCGCTTCGCTGCCTTGCTTAGCAACGTAATTTCTGGGCCTGGCTGCGGTTGTAAATCAAGGACGATCTGTACAGGCGACCAAAATTGAGCCCAAGATTTAGGTTGCTAAGCGAGAGGTTTGTTGTGAGTTTTGCCCCGTTTTGTGACCTTTCTTGCTGCGTTTGGTTAAGTGAATTGGCGCAGTTCTTAAATTAGTAACACAGTCGTTCAGTGAATCTGTTTTGCCCATTGACCGGCTTGTCGGAAGGTCGCAAAAGGGAACCACGTGACCCTGAGACACTGCGACCGTCATAAGTGTGAGTCAGTTGTCCAGCATCCGAATGTAAATAACATGACCCTGGGGATGCTGCAACGGTCGTAAGCGTGAGAAATGGTCATAAGTCTCTTTTCTCAGTGCCACTGTAGCTTTGAACGGTCACTAAATGGAACTGTTGTAAATTGAGGACGACCTGTACAGGAAGAACTCAGGTCTGGGGAACTGAAGCAACCAAGGAGACCCGAACTTTTGTCGTGGGTACAGGGACTCCTCGTTTTATGACCGCAATTGAGCCAAAATTTCCGCGGCTAAGCGAGGCAGTTGTTAAAGTGAGTTTTGCCCCATTTTTGCAACCTTTCTTGCCACAGTTGTTAAGCGAATCACTCTAGCTGTTAACAACGCGGTCGTTAAGTGAATCCGGCTTCCCCTTTGGCTTTGCACGTGAGAAGGTTGCAAAAGGGGGAATCGTATCACACACACACAGCAACCGTCGTAAGTATGAGTCCGTTTTCCAAGCAACCGAATTTGGATCCCGTGACGGGAGGGGACGGTATAACGGTCATAAGTGCGAGGGCCGGGCAGGAGGCACCTTTCCCCCCCCCAGTGCTGTTGTAACTTCGGACAGGTCACTAAGCGGACCGTTGTAAGTCGAGGACCATCTGCATCCGAACGAGGCCTGGCGACCCCCAATCGAGATGAATCCCTCCCCACGTGGGCCCCTCCTCCCCCCACCTCAGCCCCCTCCCCCTTCCCCCCCACACACGAAGCCCCTCGAGGCCAGAAGGCGCCCGGCTGCCCCTCCTCCACGCCGGGGGAGGCTGGCCGGGGATGATGGGCCTGGTGGTGTGGGGCCGGGTCACGCTCCCCGGCGCTTTTACGCGGCGCTTGCGGCTCGCTGGCCTCCCTCACCCTTGCGGAGCTCTCGGTGCCAGACGACGACGATGGGCCCGGCGTGCTTGCGGTGGTGGATGAGCCAGAGGCTCAGCGTCTGAACGCTCTGCTGAGAGTTGCTCAGCTCCGACAGCTTCCGCTCCAGCGCCGACTCCGAGAACGACGACATGGCGGGATTTCGCCCGACCCGACCCGGCCTGGCCTGGCTGGACCAGGCCCCCGGCCTCAGGGGCGACCAACCGCCACAAAATGGCCGCTCGCCCTTTCACCCCGGCGCCGCCGAAGGTCAGAGGGCGGCATGCTACGGGTCGCCGGAAGGGTCAGCGGAGGGAGGAGGGGCGAGTTGCCAAGTGACCGCGGGGAGCTGGTGGGCGCCGACGGTGACGCCTGCGCAGTCCGCTGCGGGGAAAAAAAAAAAAAAAAAAGGACGCCGCGCCTGCGTGGTCAGCAACGCGCGCTCGCGCCGGCTGCCGGGCGGAAGGCTCCGGGCATGCGCGGGCGGGCGTTCGCGCATGCGCCTTGAGCGTCGGGCAAGGTAAGGGGGCGCGTTTTCCCCTCAGGCGTCCGAGCGGGGTCCGGCCTTGTCGGGCAGGGGTCCCGGCCGAAGCCGCTGGCCTGTTCGTTCTCCGTCCCTCAACCCTGCCTGGCCCGGGCTCCCGTGGTAGGCGATGAAGGCCCAACCGGCGGAGGCCTTTCCTCTGGGGAGCCCCTATTGGGTTGGGGGGCGCCTTTCTGAGGAGATTCCCCGGCTCTGAGGCAAAGCTCCGGGCCTAGAGGGGGCCTCTGCGGGCAGCCGCCCAAGTAGGGGCTCCTTAAGGCTAGAAGTCGGGAGTTCGAATCCTGCCCCAGGGACGGAAGCCGGCTGGCCAGTCCCCCCCCCTTTCTCAGCCCAGCCCACCTCACAGGGTGGTTGTGGAGGATAAAACGATGTGCTCCTCGACTTACGACCACGCTTGGGCACCAAAATCTCCCTTGCTGAGCAAAGCCAGTTGTTCTGTGAGCTTTGCCCCATTTTGTGACCACTCTGGCCACGGTCGTTAAGTGAATCCCTGCAGTCGTTAAGCAAATCGTGTGGTCCTTTAAGCGAATCCAGGCTTCTCCCGTTGATTTTACTTGTCGGAAGCCGGCTGGGAAGGTTACAAGGGGCGATTCCGTAACCCTGGGGCAATGCGACCGTCATAAATACGAAACGCCAGTCGCCAAGCACCTGAAATTTTGATCCCGTGACCCCTGGGGATGCTGTAAAAGTTAGTGTGAAACCTGTCACTTTTCAGTCGCTTTTTTTCAGTGACATTGTAACAGTCACTAAACGAATGGTTGTAAGTCGAGGACTGCCCGAATTAGCTACGTTCACCACCATGAGATTTTTTATGAAAATAATATAGGCAGGATCTCCTGCAGCTGAGTCTGGACAGTCACTTGTCTGAAATGTTATATAGGTTCTCCTGCTTGAGCAAGGGAATGGACTAGAAGACCTCTAAGGTCCCTTCCAGCTCCTATTCCTATTCCATTCTATTTTCTATTCTACCCTAGCCTACCTTAGCCCTATCCTATGAATATACTGTATTTTCCGGAGTATAAAACTCACCTTTTTCCCCCCTAAAAGGGGGTGAATTTTTAGGTGCATCTTATACACTGAATGTAGCCCCGCTCACCCATTGGCCCCCACCCTTTGGCCTCTGCCTCCCAGTAGTTACCTCCTTGCAGCAAGAAGTAACAGCCAGTTTCAGCTTCAGCACAGCCTAATTAGCACAAGTTGATTGGATCGGCCTTCCGATTCTCAGCTGTTTTGCGCAGGCTTCTGCTGCTTGCTGCAAGGAGGTAAATTTCTGGAGCAGATTTTTTTCCCCCCTCGTGCTAATCAAGCTATGCTGAAAATGAAAGTAAAGCAGGCCGTTTGCTGTAATGAGGCAAAATTGCTGGGAGGCAGAGGCAGATTTCTTTTTCTTGTTTTCCTCACCAAAAAAGGTAGGTGCATCTTATACTCCGAAAAATACGGTAACTAAATCAATAAAAATGTCCTTTTCTTTTGCTGGCAGGAAGATGGAGGTCAAATGAGCCTGAGAGCGCAGCAGCAGCATCCATGGCCATTTTCGACACCCCCCAGGAGGCCTTCGGAGCCCTCCGCCCCGCCTGCGTCCGGCTGACCAAGGCCCAGACAGTGGAGAATGTGGAGCGCCTCCACTCCCAGCTGCGGGTGGTCAGCGACTCGGCCCTGCAGGAGCTCCAGGAATACGTCCTTTTCCCTTTGAGATTCACCCTCAAGACCCCTGAGCCGAAGCGGGAGGGTGTGGTCCGAAGCGTGGTGCAGTGTGTCAGCTTCGTGCTTTCGTCCACATGCGTGAAGAAGGCAGATCTCCTTCTAGAGCTGTTCTCCGAGCTCTGTGTCTGCCTGGCGTCTCCCTCCAACCCATCCCAGCTGGCTCCGTTGTCGGAGGAACTGAAGCAAGACGTGGGCCAGGCTCTGCTCGCGTTGCTCCACTCCGCTTACGGAGATGTCCTCCTGTCTCTCTACCAGCCTTCCAGCCTTCCCCAGCTGGGCTTTGCCGTGTCCCTGCTCTTGGCCCTTGCAGAACAGGAAAAAGCCCGGCAGGTTAAGATCACAGCCTTGCGGTGTCTGCAGGCTCTCCTCCTGCAGTGCGAATGCCCAGAGGATCACCAGTCCCTGGAGAAAGAAGAGTTGAGGCAATGTGGAGACCTCTTTGCCTCCTTCCTTCCTGGGATCTCCATTGCTCTGTCCAAGATTATTGCAGCAGACGTGAAGCAAAGTCATGCCGTCACAGTCTCGGCCATCAAACTCTTTTCTAGGGCCGTCGCTCTGGTGATGGCCGATGAACAGCTAGCGCAGATCCCACCAGAGAGGAAGAAACCAGCCTCAGAACAGAGTAAAATACAGGAACTGGTGGTCCACCGAAACGGAGACTGGGCGAGAAATACCGCATCCAAACTCTCCATCCTTATCAAGAAGGTGACTGGATCTGGGTCTCTTCATCCCCACTGGAAGGTGCGACGGGAGCTGGTGGAAATGGCCCGTCTCCTCCTGACAACATGCGGCCGATCTTTGGTGGACTCGGCTGGCCAGTTGTTAAAAGCCTTGGTTGGCCTTGTGAACGATGAGAGCCCCGAGGTCCAGCGTCCGAGTGAGAGGGCGTTGAAGGATATCACCGCGCAGGAGAGAGTGGCCGGGAACAGGCTCCTGGCCAACATCCTATCTGAGGATCTTCACTCTCTGGCCACTGCTCTGCCCCGTTTAATGACCTCCCAGAACGACCAAGGTAAGATGGCCACTTTAAACCTGGTCCTTGGGTACCTGAAGCTCTTGGGCCCAAAGGTGAGTGTGGTTCTCCACTCTGCCTCCCACCTTCAGCGTCTGTCCAAGGCCCTGGTGCAAGTCCTGGAGCTGGAGGTGAAGGACGTGAAGGTTGTGGAGGAAAGGAGCTGGGCCCCGGAAGCTTTTCCTCAGCCCTCGCTGGGCAGCCTCCAGAGGAAGTACTTCCGCTTCTTCACAGATGACCGGATTTTTTCCCTCCTGCAGCAGATTTGCCGGGCTCTGGGCACTTACGGCAATCTCTACTTACTTGTGGATCACTTCATGGACCTGTACAGGGAATCCACTATGTACCGGAAGCAAGCCGCCATGGTTGTCAATGAACTGATCGCTGGAGCTGCAGGGCAGGAGGCGCAGAGCACTTTGCTGAGCTCCGAGGATCTGGTGGGGATCGTAACTTCCGTGCTAGAAGAATATGTGGACTCGGGAAACTGGCATTTGGTCACCAGCTTGGAGGTCCGAGAGTCCTGGGCTGAATCCGCAGCCACAGATTCCAGAGCTCTTGCTGTTACGTACGGAGCAGCTCACGGACCTCTGGTGTCCCCAGATTCGAGCCCCACCATCCGCTGTATGAACAGCAACATTTGGCAGATCTGTATCCAGCTGGAAGGGATCAGCACCTTTGCCTCTGCCCTGGGGAAGGACTTCCATTTGCTCTTAATCTCCGCTTTGTACCCTGTGCTGGAAAAGGCCGGGGACGGCACGCTCCTGGTCAGCCAGACTGCAAAGGGGACCCTTGTCGACATCTGCCAGGCCTGTGGCTACCTCTCTGTCCCTGAGCTCCTCAGGCAGAATGCCGATTACCTGGCGAATGGGGTCTCCTTGCACCTGAGGCACCCGGCCGATGAGCCCCACGCCTTGCAGGTCCTGGAGGCCATGCTCCGACACTCAGATGCCGGGGGGGCCTGCTTGGTGGAGGACCTGGTTGAAGACGTTTTGGCCAGACTGGATCAGTGTCACAGTGAACGGGCATCTTCGTTCCTGGGGGCTCTACGGACCCTGATGGCCTCACTAGGTAACTACGAACAAAAGGTTGGGAATGCCTCTGCTTCAGAATTTGTTGGTTGTTGTGCTTGGCTGCTGGTTTTGCCCTTAAGATAAACTTACATTTCCAGCCCTAGTAGAATTTAGAGCATTTAGACTTCTATACTGCTTCACAGTGCTTTTTACAGCTCTCTCTAAGCGGTTTTACAGAGTCAGCCTCTTGCCCCCAACAATCTGGGTCCTCATTTTACCCACCTCGGAAGGACGGAAGGCTGAGTCAACCTTGAGCCTGGTGAGATTCGATCTGCCAAATTGCAAGGCAGCCGGCAGTCAGCAGAAGTAGCCTGCAGTACTGCACTCTAACCACTGCTCCACCGCGGCTGTAGTAGTAGCCTCCAGATCTGTTGGACTTCAATTCCTATGTTCCCCAGCCAACGGGGGTAGTCCTCAACTTACAACTGGTTGCTTAATGTTTAAAGTTACAACCAACTTTTTAAAAAATATACTTGCCACCTCACCTGATCGCATTTTGGGCATTTGTCAGTTGGCATTTGCAACTGATTGCGGTGTTCCATGGCCACATGATAGCATTTTGTGATATCTAGATATAGATATAGATATAGATATAGATACACACACACACACTTATATTTATATTTGTATATGTAGGTCTTTGGTTATTCGGGTTTTTACACGGGAGAAAACCCGAATAACCAAAGACCTTCATACAAACACCCACTATCGAGGCACCTGGTCTACCCCAACATGTGGGAGGGGGCATTCTGCTCCCTTTCGCCTTTCAGCTCCAATCCAGGAGGCCTCAAGCAGTCGCATTGACGACAAACCATTTTATACCAAATTTATATTTTGCTGATAAAGAAATAAAGGGGGACTAGTATAGATCTATTTCAAGCTATTTAGCTCTCATCAGCTAGCCAGACCCTTACTTGGATTCGAACTTGGGCTGCCTGGATGTTAGGCAGTTGTATTAACCTCTGATCCACAATAAGGGCCTGGTGGCTCAGCAGA